CCCCAGCCGCAAGCCCTTTCTACGACGCATCCAGGAACTCAGGGGCCCTCTTACTCAGGGCTCTACAACGCGCGCTCGCGATGATTTGGTTGCCGCTGTTCTTGAAGCCCAGGGGCCTCGTGTTTCCAGGCGCTCTGGCGATCGCGCGTCAGTCCAGGAGCCCTCGCCTGCGGGGGCGAAGACGCCCGGCAGGTCGCTGAGCTTTCAGGAGAGCGACTTCCCCTCGAGACAATGATGCACGCCGTCCAAAAAAGGACGTCAGCGCAGAGGGGTGCACTGATCCACGCCGCGCGCGGGGGCAGATCTAGGCCAGGCGCGGAATGCTGGAGGCGGCAGAGGCGCGCCCGCGCATCCTCGAAGCGGGGCATCGGGCAATCCAGCGCCACAGTCTACGCGGGGAACTGCTTTAAGAAAGTTGCGGCACCGGCGCTGTCACACTCGGCTCGTGAAAACCTTCTCCCAGTGGCCTGCGAGCGCGCCCGGCATCTGGGCAAGTTCGGTTAACGCAAAACCTCTGGGGGCTCTATCTCCAGCGAGCGAGAGCCGACGGTGGAACGGGGGCCGCAGCTGCGAGACGTTCTGGAGCCACCCAGCACGATCCCGAAGCTTCTGCTGGACCTGGGGCCCCCCTTGGGCTCTCGCGGCTTCCTGGACCTGAACTTGCTGTTTCCTTGCAACCTCGGAATGCGGGTGATTCGAGAGCTCCGCGAACGATTCAGGTAAAAGCGAAAATGATTTTTCTTAACCCGAGATCAAGCTGGAGGTGGCCCCGAGCGAGGTGGCGCGCCGCCGGCAGGCGTTCGGCGAGACGAACGCGCCGGAGAAAAAGCAGCGTGGGCGGCGCTGCGGACGACCGCGCGCTTAGCTAGCGACGAGGAAAGACAACGCAGCATGATGCTGTTGCATGCGTGGCACGCTCCAGCGATCAAAACATTATTGTGGCACGCGTGCTTCTTCCAAAGCTCGAGGTCATCCATCGGGGCCTCCTGCGCAGCCGAGCGCATGAGTCGCTTGTTTTTGTCAATATCGCATAACTGCTTCGGGATCGGCCGCTGCCCTCTGGGCGGCCGGCGCTGTGGCCCGAGATTTGCCTGGCCTGGAGAGCCGCGGGCCGCCCCGGAACTCCCCCTCCCGCGGCGAACTGGGTCGCGGCTCATTCAGGGGCCGAAAGACATGCCCGATCAATATATAATAACGTTTTGTCCCCGCGGTGATAGCGGGTGGGGTCTTCGACTTGGCACTCCGCAGAACGTCCGAAGATCTCGCGCCAACCCGCAAAAGCAGGAGGCGGGGGAGGAAGCTCATCGCCGCTAGGGGCCGACCGGTGGACAAGGACGCCGCCGAAATTGGAGTCACCCACCAGCATTGCAAGACGCTGGAGAGGGCCAGCTTCAGCAAGAGATAGGTCGAGTTCAATGGCATCTAGCATCAAGGGCCGATCAATGGCCGAACTGTTCTCGTTGAGAATATTATAGCGTGAAATCCAAATAATGTTATCTACGTTAACAAATCTCGCATTCAGAACTCGACCATCGACGAGGGAGAGAGAGGAGACAGGTAGGCGCGCAACGCCACAGCTAGCAAGGCGATCCCGCGAATTTCCAACATCCGAAGAGAAACAGAAAAAGGGCCACCGCTCCTCCAGTGCGATGCAAAAGGGGGAAGGACGGAGAAAAAGAGGAACCCTCGTGCAGTTGGTGGAGCACGTCGCCCACCTCAGCCTCATTGCCGCGCGCCTTGTGGACAGCAGAGATGGCGCCCTCACGCAGCAGCCGCCCGAGATGGCGACGCCGCCGAAGACGGGCGCGAACTGCGCGGCGTTGAAGGGAACTGGCGCTCCACGTGCATACTCGAAGAGGAATTGCTCGAAGACGTGCTCCACTCCAGAGCGCGTGCGCCAAGATAAAGACTCCACTGCGTCTCCTCGGGCCCCCGCGCGATTGCGGCGCGTGCCGGGGGTCGAGCGCTTCTCGGCTTAAGGCCCTCCGACGCCAAGTTGCCCGACGCCCAAGTGGGCGATCGGCGAGAGGTCGCCCTCCTGCGGGGGGATCTTCGCCAGCAGCTTCCAAGCGGTGGGCGCGGTGCTTGTCGGGCCCCAAGAAGAGCTCGGCGCGGGCGCCAGTGACCGAGGCGCCCTTGATCTTCCGCCACTCTCCGCCACCAGCCTAAGGACGTAGAGTGCCGAGACATTGAAGGACTTCGCGGCTCGCCCATCCCGTGGTCCGGCTGGTCGGCACACCCTCGAAGGTCCACTCATTATCCAAAAAGCTTCGCTCTGATGTCCGGGGGCGAAGGACTTTCGCCACGGCGTCCTTCGCCATCTGCTCCGCAATACAAATGACAATGATGGTCGCGTCTACCTGGCGATCCCAGTTGGCCGGCGCGCCAAGACTGGAGAAAGACGACAGTCAAACTGCTGCGCGAGAGAAGCACATGTCGCGACCACCTTCCTCTGCATGCTCGACACCGTGGACTCGAGTTGTTTGACTGTTCTTGGCCAGACTCCATATCTCGTGGGAGATCGTCTTTGAAATGCCCCACGGAAGCACGAAGCGGATCTCCGCCTCCGTCTGAGCTGTCACCTCCACGACTTCCACCGACAAGCTCGAACGAGAGATCATGTGTTTGACGTTTTGCCATATTCCTTGCTGAACCTCGCCTTCCTCCCCAGCGTGCGCAGCCATGCGCAGCAGTTGCCCTGTCGCCCACATGCCGCGCAGGAGATGAATGAGGGGAAAAGCGAACATGTGCGAACACTGGCCGCGCGTCTTGGCTGCGCGGTGGAAAAGAGTCGAGAGATGGCCACGGAAAGGCCGAAAGCTAATCGCTGATTCTCGGGCGTCTATGGCCGCTCACGACGTTCAGCCTTGAACCAACATGGCTACGGACCTGATCTCGATCCTCCTCCTCCTCCTCCTCCTCCTCGACCACCCCCCTTGCCCCTTTCGTCCGCCACGGTATCGCGGGGGGGGGGGCGCCAACTAGACACCCGCGCAGGTCCTGGCCGGTGACCAGCCTGGGCCCGCGGATCGGCGACGGCGCTGCCCTGGCTTGGCCAGGCGCGCGCGTGCTCAGATCCCAGGCTCTCGCCGGACCTGCATGCAGATTGGCTCCCTGGATTGGTTGACCGAAAAATTGTTCCTGATCCTGTGGGAGGGGACCTGCGTCAGGAAAGCCACGCACACCAGGGATAATGAGCTTTTTTCTGCGGGTGTATCAAACCCAACCGCCCAGAATCATTATCCCGAGTGCGAAGACGGGGGCCTCAGTGAGGACAAATCTTCATGTGTTAAACAGGGTAAAGTTTTTTGCCCTTGATGATGGACCTCTCCCGAGTGGAGCTCTGACCAGCATCTCGAAAGGAACCCCAGCCGTGGGACCGTGATGGCGGTACGCAGCAGAGGAGCAAACGCGCTCGACTGGGCGCGGCAGCAGAGAGCAGGTGGTCTGTTAAACGCGCCGCGTGAGGGATCCCGTCTCAAAGCGGCGACGTAGAGTCCCTTGACGAGGCTCGCCAGCGGCATGAAGGAAACCCCCCCGCTTCCTCACCCCTTATCCTCCAAGAACCGAAAAACTATACAGGTTCACCTCCCTCCTCCTCCTTGCCCTCTCCTGCTCCGATTGACTCCGTCCTCTTGGGGCGCAGCTGGTGTCCGCCCAGGGCCATGTTCGAGTAGTGGATCGACTACAGCATCGATGTACCCCAGAACAGCTGCCCGTCGAATCCGTGCAGAATGCTGCGCTTGCTGTGCAGATGGACGAGCCAATCACTTCTTTGGGGCGCACCAGCTCTGCAGTCGATCCCCTACTGGACACATGGGCCGCCTCCTCCTCCTCCTCCTCCTCCTCCTCCTCCTCCTCCTCCTCCTCCTCCTCCCCCTCCTCCTCCTCCCCCTCCTCCCCCTGCCCGCAGCGCCGCCGCTGCCGGTGGGCGCGGCCAGCCGCCCGCACGCCGCAGGACGGGCTCTCCCGAGCCCCCGGGGGCGCTAGCCACTGTCAGGAGGCACCGCCCGTGGGAGGCCTTCGCGTGCTCGCGCCCGTGCCCTCGCGGCCCAGGCGCCCAGGCGCGGTCCCCCGGATGTGCGCGAGCCGCCGAAGGCGCCCCCCGCGCGGAGCACCCGCGCAGCTCCACCCGGCACCCGCGAGGCCGCGGCAGAGGAGCCCGGGCCGCGAGGCCGTGGACACGGACGTTCCCTATGCGTCGTCCGTGGCCGTCGGCACGCTACTCCCAAACGTGCGGGGACTTTGCGCCGCGCGCCTCTGCGGGGGCTGATAGGAGGGAGAGGAAGGGGAGGAGGGGGAGGAGGAGGAGGAGGAGGAGGAGGAGGAGGAGGAGGAGGAGGAGGAGGAGGCGGACCGGTGTAAACCCAAGAGTCATCAACGATGGTGGAGCGATCCCTCCATTCAAGCTCCCTCTTCATTAGCCCCTGCAAGGGTTCATTTCCACTGAGGGAATTGCCTCGTTGGACGACAACCGTTTGAACACCCTGAAGCATGCCAAAACATTTTACTCGGGAATCCAACGCCACGGATCAACCTGACTGTTGCGTCTTGACAATCCTGACTCGTGCCAGAACACCATTCCTGGGACTTCAAAACCGCGAATCCAAGTAATTGCTGCATCCTCATACTCCTGAAGCTCTCCAAAACATCATTCCTGATACGCAAACTATGGAAACCCGTGAAACTCCTGCAATTTCTAGGCAGGAGTCTGCGCGGCGCTGAAGTGAGAGCCACACTGCGACGAGGAGCCGCCCTCACTCCGTCAAACTCGGACGACGACACCCACGACGACGACGACGACGACGACCTCGACGACGACGAGGAGAGAGGGGGGGCAAGGGCGAGGCCCGGGCCAGGGCCGTGCCCAGGAACCGCCACGCAACGAAAACTCGAGGCTGGCAGGCCAGGGCGGTCGAGCAGCTGCGGCCCCAGGCCCGACGGGGAGGGCGCCCCGCGGGCCCTGTGGGCGCTCGCCCCGGCGGGGGGGGGCCGGAGGGCTAAAGGGCCAGGGCTGGGGCCGTGCCCGAGCTCCGCCTCGCCACGAACACGAGGCCCGCAAAGGCGAGCACGGTGAAGGCGACGGCCTCGGCGCCGAGGAAGGCCGCGCAGGCCCCGATGCTCAGGAACGACTGGAAGTTCAGGGAGTCCAGGTAGACCTCGCCGCTGGGGAAGGAGCACACGGGCACCAGCCCGCCGCCGTCCTCACTGGGCAGCACTCGGATCTGGTCCGCGGAGCAGTGCAAGTTCAAGCCCCCGAACTCGTTGCGGGCCATGGCGATGAACGCGTATTTTGCGGGGGACAGCCACTGGACCCATATGAAATAAACAGGAATTGATGCTGTATTGACGACGAAGCCACTGAACATGATGAGCGGGAGGATTAACAAGGGCGCGACGGCTAGAGCGACCGCGATGTCCGGGAAGATGCATGCAAGGAACAGCCCCATGGCATTCGCCGACAGTGCCAGGAGGGTCCGGAGAACGACGAAGACGAAGAACCTTCCAGCGTGAGGCTGGAAGCCCACCGCCCAGTACGTGATGGTGCCAGACAGCGCGGACCTCGTGGGCGGGGAACGCATCATGTCCACATCCGCGGCACGCGCAGCGATGGACACGAGGCGGCACTGCGCGGGCGCCCCGCGCGGGACACACACCGAGGGGGTCGCGCATCCACGGGATCGCGCATCGTTGGGAGAAAAACACACACACACACACACACACACACGCACACACATACACAAAAAAACACACACAGTGGGAACAAAACTCACCAAAAAAACACACACACACAAAACACATACACACAAACACACACTGTGGGGGGGAAAACACAAACACACACACACACACAGAACAAAACAAAAAACACAGACTACGAGGGCATGGATATGGATGTGTTCGCTGCTCGCGCAGACCCGAGCATCTTTACGGGGACGTCCACCATGATGCGCGCGAGGAAGTAGGGCAAGAGACTATCCGCCGCCCCCGCGCCTGCGGAGCAGTGCTGGCAGACACGCCTCGCTCGCCCCGTGCGCTCGTCGAACGAGCCGCGCGGCCCGTGAAGCGCTCGTCCGCGGACCGTGCCCACGGCATGCTGGCACACGATAGAACGCCGATGTGCTGTCTGCTTTTTTCCCGCAGCGTGATTTTGAGCGACCGCCCCCCCAACGCGCGACCCGCCTAAGAGGATCGCCCCTTGCCGTCTCCTCCATTGCACTCGTCTCGGCCCAGCACAGTCCGAAACCGCCACGGGGCGGCTCCAACGTACGTCTGGACCCGCCCAGGTCGGCGAGATGACGTCCCAGATGCCCCAGTGTGCCTCCAACCTCCCCAGGGGCTCTCCAGCAGAGACCTGGGAAGCCAACATAATTACAGCATCTGTATGCTTTCAGTGCATGTTGCTTCAATGCGCTTTACTGGCCATGAAGGCTTCAAGGCCCGAAACGCTCCCGAGATGGCCCAAGACGGTCCATAACAGAACCAAGAGGCCTCCAAGAGGGCCCCAAAGAGGGCCCCAAGAGGCCTCCAAGAGGGCCCCAAAGATCCATCCAGACGGCCCACGATAGTTGTACCTGGCGTCTTTGGGAGAGCTCGATAGAAAGATCGTGCCCAAGACAACTCCAAGACCCTCCGACAGGCGCTCAAGAAACCCCCCATGTACCCCCAGGAGGTCCCGAATGTGGCGTCAAGAAACTAAAAGCAGGTACCCAATGAGCAACAGAACATCCATGGAACGTTGCGAACACGCCATGTCCTAGCACTCTACCGCTCGTTTCAAAGCAGTCCCAATATGGTGCAACCAAGCCTTTGCGGAAAAGCTCGGTGGAACCATCTTGCGTAACCATGTCTATGCTGCGCGGTCACGGTAGCGGAGTCTGCTGCAGGCGGGGCCCCCGTCCACCACGAAACCGACGCCACGAGATGTAACTATGGAGCACAAGATCCGCCACCTTGCGTAGGTACTAATTAGAATGTTTTCAGGTCCAGCTGCGTCCTCTGCGCAAGGTGTTGCAACACTTGATCAACTCGCGGGACTGGTCGCGTGACTTTTGGGGCCCGTCGGATGACTCCTCCAGAGGCATTTGGGGGCGTGGTCAGGACCCCATCCTTCCAGCAAGGCCTGAAGTGGTCTGTGGGACCGTCCTCGAGTACTCTTGGGAGCATCTTGCCCACGAGGTCAAGGTCATCGAAGATGATCGGCCCACAAACCCAGGAAGGGGAATCTTAGCGTGAGGCAGGGCACCATTACAAGACCGCAAGCTCAGGCGACATGCAGTGGCAATGCTGAAGATATCGATTATGATGATACCGCGCCATGGGCTGCGCTGTGCCGTATTTCATGCCTGGTTGAGCTGTGTTGTGCTCGCTTGCGTTATGGATCGCGTCGTCCTCGGCATCCGAATCCGGACCGACCTGATCGGGGTCTTTTGCTCGAGCTTCCTGAACGCATGGCTTGCCCAGAGCTGGTTATTAACGAGACGTGCGGGGCGCTCAATCAACTCGACCTCCAAACCCGACCCAGCTCCGAAGCTGGACGAACCGAGCGGGGGCGAACGGACGCGCCACCGTCTGCCCGTGACCTTCCGACAGCGCACTGCTTGTTTGGTGCCGCGGCTGGCACTGCCGCCAGCATGTAGGTGGCGCCTCCGGGCGGCCTCTGGCACGCGAGTTCGGGCCTCTGCGCTGCCATCTGGCAGCCGTCTGTCGCGGGGGGCCTCCGCGCGGCTGCAGTGGTGGTCTTCTGCGTGCTCGCCCCGATTTGGCGACCTGCCTTTGGCGGCCGTGGCTGCGCTGGCGCGCTTCTCTGGCAGCTGGCCACGGCGCTCCGGCGCGGACGAGTTCCCCGGGAGCTCGAGGCGGGCTGCAGATAGGGCCGCTGCTGCTGGGCACGGGCGAGGCTAAGGCCCCCTCGCGGCCGCCGCGGGCAGCAGCGGAGCTGGATCCCGGATCCGGCGTGGAGCGTTGGCCCGGCGCTCCGGCAGCCCCGGCACGGTGGCGGCCTGCAGAACGCCCGCTGCAGGACGCGCGCGACGTGTTCCTCGCAGCCTGGGCACGGCGCGAGGCCCGCGCGGTTGCGGCGCGGCGGCGGCCTTCGCGCACGCGGACGCTGGCACGGGCCGGTGGGCCACGCGACGCCTGCTATAGAGAGTGGCCAGCTTGCGCAGGATGCGGCTGGCGCGCTCCGGGCGGTGCTGACGGGGAACGCGATCACCGAGCAACTGACGGCCAAGTGGGGCAGAACAGTTCTTCGTATTGTGGACCAGTAAGGGATGCCAGGAACGCTAACATACCTCTGCCATGCAGTCGCCGTCGTTTGCCCTTACCCTTGCCTCGACCCTTACCCTTTCCCCTAAGAGCCCGTCGGATAGTGCGTCGTACCTTATACGAACTGGCTTCTTCATAAGCGGTCATCACCTACGGTCACCACCTGCGTTTATGTTTCTGATATCCTAGGAATAGCCATTGGGCCAGTTGTTCTTCCGTAAGATACATGGGCATGTCGGCGTAGTCTAGGGCATTCGCCTCGTCGTCCGAGGACGTGTCGGCGTCGGTTCCAGAGTCGAAGTCGGACTCAGCGGGTTGCCCCGTTGAGCCTACAAGGGTAGTGGCTTGTGTAGGAGCAGCCGTTGCCAGCAGTCCCTGATACCTGGCCCAGGAGTCTTGCGGCCCCGCGGCCGAACCACCGCTTTGAGTTAATAGCGTGGTGGTTTCCGTTGGTTGCGAATCGTCATTCCAGGCGTTCGTAGCAGGCTACCCTGCGTTAGCTTCAGCATGGAAGGTCTCGGAACGGTGACCGTGGCTGAAGGTACCACCAATGTTGCCAAGGGGGTCGATCAGCGATGTGAGCATCTGATCTCATGCGTTCAAGCAGAGTCAAATTGCTGCTTGTCCCTCGGCATATGGTGGTTCAATGGCTATATAAGTTGTTGTGCACGCGACGTTCCCACTTCTAAGGCTCTGAACAGGATAACCGCTAGCATTCGGAAGTTGGGGATGTTAAAGCCTGCCGTCTCACCCCCATAGCGGGCTATCTCGAAGCGTGCCAATGGCTGGTCGATCCACTCTCCAGCATGGACTCGGAAGTCAATGAGAGCTGTACCGGAGTTGAGCTGGCGTTCCTCTTCTAAGTTCTCGAACTTCGTGCTCAGGAGAAACATCATGTAGGAGGCACCATCAATATGGCGGCCACCTATGTTGACGCCAAAATTGATAACTGCTGAGAAACTCGCATGGCGATGGTCCGTGCGAGGCCTCCCAGACCACGCTGCAATGCCGCAGCTTGTAAGGAGGTGGTCACGTTGATCCAGGCATGCACCTCGCGAGCGAACTCGCGGAAAGGTGCTTGAACGGCCGGGTCCCAGTGGGGACCGGTCGTTGTTGGTCGTCTCCGCCACGCATGTGTCCCACAGTACCCGATGGCAACCAAGATGAGACCAATGATACGAACACCAATCCAATGGCCCCGTAGATCGTGGTCGGATGTGGTTGGCTGAGGCTTGTGGTGTTTTGTCGTAAGCCTGCGTGGGGGTAGAGGCGGAGCAATATCGTATCGCATGTTTCCATGCATGACATCTTCAAAGAAGTTCCCAATCGGAGTAGGTGGGTGGACTTCAGGAGTGTAGTAGCGCAGGGATGTAGGATTCGAGTATGAGGCCTCTGCGAAGGCAGGGGTAGTACTGCAAGTGCCCTTGCGGTTGTGCGTAGTTATGTACATTCCTCCGCGCAGGCCCATTTCACCCTGATGTCCCACCATGTCAGTGGTCCACCAGATAGCGCCGTGGATGGTGAGGAGTATAACCAAAACTGACACCATGGGCCAGCTCCGCTACCAAGTTTGAAGGGGGCCGGTAGGCCCGACCAGAAGCTACGCCTTAGGCGAAGCACAGCTCCAGCTCTGCTATATCGTAGTAGCGATAGTCCCAGTAGTAGGAGGTCGTCGCGGGAACGACGGGCCATCTCAAGCGAAGGATGTTTTCAGTCTCGATGGCGAATGGTACACATCGCCCTGAGGTGTAGTCAGATATAGGCGGCCGGCCGCCTGAGCACAAACGCGTTAAACGGCCGCGGACACACGCTCGTTACCTCTCGCCTATATCCCAGCTGGAGGCAACAATCATGAATCGAAATACGGTTCGTCCCCAAATCTGGCTTTCCCGCTTGTTCGGGAGGCCGGCGCCGAAAGACGGCACCATCGGCCCCCAAGACCGCCCCAAGACGGCCCAAGAAAGGCTCCCAAGAGGCCCGCAAGACAGCACCCCAAGGACGGCACAAGAGGCACGGCCCCCTAGACCTCCAAGGCGGCCCTGAAGCGCCCAAGAAGGGACCCGCGACTGCTCAGCGAAGGCCCCAGGAGGGCCTCCGAAGGCCAAGAGGTCCCTCAGAAGCCCTCAGTGGCCACCTAGAGGCCCCAGAGGGCCCCTGAGAAGCCTTAGGAGCTTAGAGGCCCCCTGGAAGCCCCCGAGGCTCACAGGAAGCCCTCGGGAGGCCACAAGAGGGCCTCCAGAGGCCCACAAGAGGCCTTATCCTCTTTCTGTTCCTCCTCCTTTTCCTTTTCCTCGTCCTTCTTCCCCTCCCTCCTCCTCCTCCTCCTCCTCCTCCTCCTCCTCCTCCTCCTTTTTCTTCCTTTTGCGGAACACATCGTGCAATGGCTTGGCCAAGCTTTGGCCAACACATTCGGCAACATCGAGGCTTCCAAAAGGCAGGGGGCGGCGGTGATTCGCCGTCGGCGTTTCGATTTCTGCATGCGTCTGAACTTCGACGGGCGAAGTGATACACTGAACAACGGTCTACTTCAGTGGGGCCTTTCTGAGCCCCATCGGCCCTTAGAGGCTCCCCAAGACGCATCCAAAGGCCCGAAGTCGAACGAAGTGCAGGTCGCCTCAAGAGGTGGCCAAGGCAGTCTGCGGCCAGATCTAATGTGTCGTGATTGCGAAGGGACTGCGCCCAACTCGTTCAGAGTGTCCCAGGATACCCTAAACACCCGAAAGTAAGGCACAACGCGGCCTCAAGACGTCAATGAGGCCCTGCCGAGGACCTCAGAAAATCTGCCAGAGGGCCCTGCGAGCCCAAAAGCATCGGAGACAGCACATCGCCAATGCCGTCACCTTGCTGCTCCAGTTGGCCGCCCTGCTGCCTTCAAGCCGCTCTGGACAGCGACCTGGCGGTCCACACTGTCATCAAGATTCCATCCTGAACCCCCCGAAAGCAGCCCCACGACTGCCGAAGTCTGGCCTAAGGAAGCCCTAAGAGGTCTACTCCAAGAAGGCACCAGAATGGCTCGACACCGAACCAAGCCTGCACAACAGTAGGGAAGGCCCCATACCTCCAAAGCCGGCCGCAAGTCCTCCCAGGCGAGCCCGAGACAACCCAACCGGCCCCAGGAGCCCGACGGCCAACGTCAAGGCGGCCTCCAGGAACGCTCCCAAAAGGCCCCGAAAACGCACACAAGCAGCGTCACGGCCGTATCGTGACACAGCGTTACTGCCCAATTCCTCCTCGCGCGGTTGCGGATATGCGCGGCAACGCAACTAGATACATGCCATTCTCGTGCTCCCGTAATACAGCACCGCGCTCGTTGCCAAAGGCCGTCAGCACTCCCATGATGTTGCCCATCATCCCATCTGCGACCATGAAAAACATAACGCCGGAGCGGTCTTGAACACCTGTCTGGCTATCGTCTACTTGAAACCAGATCAAAGAGATGATGATCGCCATGACGGTCGACTGCACCAAGAACATTATGCCCCTCGATGGGTTGCGTTTGAGGTCGAAGAGGCCCCGCCGCAGCAACACGGTGAACTGCGCACACAAACCACTTCGCCTGACAACTTCATCATTTTTGCCCCCAGGGGACGCCTGTGCGATACACTCGTCCACCTCCTTATCCACGGCATCCTTGCCTGCTCCCGCGTTCCACTTCTGCACGAGCTCTTGCTCGCGGGTACCCCTGGCGCAAAGGCCACTAGAATCGGAGAGCACGTGCATGAAGAAGAAGTCGGCCGGATTCGCGAACTGCGGACAAGGGTAGCCTCTGTCCGCGAAGTACGGCACGGACTCCGAGGCGAGACCGTTGTACACGGTATGCCCACCCAGGAGAAGGAGCAAGTCATCGAAGAGTGCAAAGATCCGCCAGCCCGCGCGTTGGGACTCCACGCTTTTCTCAGTCTTTAAACATAATCTGGATGACTAAGTGTGTAAATGCCCCCTCTGGCCCCCAAGAGGGGTGAGATGCGCCAACCCACAAGGGCCAATGACCCCTGGCCCCCCATGTGCCCTGGGTAAAACGCCATGAATCCGATCGCGCAGGGCAACGAACCTTCGTCAAATACACTGGATCATCGGTTCGAGTGTCACGGCCCCTGGTGAACCAAACTTCGGCCACAACGGGAACCGCTGCTGCTTGAACCGCAACCGTCGCTGGTGATCAATGCCGTTTGCGGCTGGTTGGTCTGCTTTGTGCTGCGCACTGCCGCCTGCTGATGCAAGGCGGGGGTATATCCATGTCCGCCGCCTCTGAAAGCGACGCCCTGGGACTCCAGTGGGCGGTGGATATGCATAGATTCTAGCCCCAAGGCCCCCCCGATATATCCACATCCACCGCCTGCCGAGGTCCCCGGAGATCGATCCGTCAGCCCTCAGACGGTGGTTGTGGATGAACCCCCGCCGCGGAGCGGATGCCTGCTGCGTTATGCTGCGTTCTCTGCTTGGGCATTTCTTCGCGCCTCTTGGGGTCTCTCTTGGGTCCCCCTCGCGCGAATTTACCAGCCTGGCAATCGCGGGGCCTTCTGCGCCGTGCTGTGCCCTCTTAGGCCGCCAGGAGACCTCACCTGGGCCCCGTTGGGCTGTCTTTGCAGCCGCTTGGGGCTCTCAAGAAGGCCTCTTTGGCGGTCCTAAGTCACCAGGGAGTGTCGTGGGAGCCACCTCGAGGCTCTCTTGGCCGATCTCGGCTCCGTCGTGGGCTGTCTTGAGGCTCGAAAGGGCTGTCTTGAATCACGGTGAGCCGAAGCAGAAGAAAACGAGGATGACACGCTTGCGACTGAAGGCCCTGAACACAGCTTTACACACTTACGGTGGGGGGCACAGTGGGGGATCACGATGGGGAATCACGATGGGGGGTGCAGACTAAGCATAGGGACAGAAGCACAGGGATAGGGGTCGGGGTAGGGATAGGGACTGCAACCCAAACATGCGACGTCCTGATTGTTTCAGGACGGCGTCCCCGAAGTGCCGACCCTTTCCCCGGGGCCGGTTTTTCATCCTGAATCGTTTTTTGACGGTCCCGAGGCCCGGCGAGGGCCTCGAGAGGCCGAAAGCGACGAAAAACCTTCGCCCTGAAATTTCAACGACGCGATCGTGCCTGGCGCCCCACCGACTCTGGATCTCTGGCGACGCCCCGTTGCTGATCTCGTGCGCTGGAGGCACCGGGGAGGCCCCGCCGCCCCGCCGATCCTCCGGAGCCCCGAGGCCGCGGGAGGCCACGGCACCCCACCGATTCCGGATCCGGCGACCCACCTACCAGTTTCTGAGAAGAGAGACAGCCAAGAACCCTCCTAAGGACGCGCGGGAAGGACGCAAGGCCCTTGGAAGCCGAAGTTGGGATTTCTGGGGCGGCGGACGACGAAAACCTCAAGGACGCAAGATCGAGGAAGAGCAAGGACGCAAGGGTACCCTGAGCAAAGTCGCGCGTCCTCATTCGGGTTTTTGACTGTACGCGTCTTTCATTTCTGATTGTGCTCAGTTCTAGTTGTGCTCGTTTCTAACTGTTCCTGGCCCCCTGGTGGCCAGGAAGAGGCCCATGATAGAACAATTAGAAGTGAAAGGATCTTGGCCCCCCAAAAAAATAATCGAGGACTGTTCGAATAATTAGAAATGAACAACGCGTACCAGTTTCTGAAAAGAGAGATATCACACCCTTCCAGAGCAAACACTGGTTAGGGAACAACGCGCTGACTGCATCAAGCATCCTGAGAGCCCCTTGGACCCTGCCTTGGAGCCTCTGCTGAGCCCGTTAGGGTCTCTTGGGTCATATATTGGAGTCTCGTGGAGTCCTCTAAGGCCGTGCTGAAAACCTCCTGAAGCAATATTCGGCTAGATTCGCGCCCCCTGAACGTCATACTGGAGCTTGTGGGGGACATACTGTCGCCCAAAAGGGCAATTCAAATTCACTGAAGAAACTTTTCATGTGCAACTCCAATCGGCATCCAAACGAACATCGCTTGGCGCTTCCATCACACCATGGATCCCCAATCCAAGGACCACGATCCGCTTCAAAATGCGATCCAGTAGCCAGGAATAATACAAAACGCAGAAAGTCCTCGATGCAAATCCCACCAGCCCTTTAGGGCGTCGGTGGTTTAACGAGTTTCCTCTTCCACCCCTCCTTCTTCCCCTTCGGGGAGGGGTCTACCCCTCCCCCTACCCCCTCCCCACTGACCTGGACAGGGGGGGCGGGGAGCGGTCAGAGCGTCCAAAACGGCCTCGCCGAGGAAGCCAAACTCATTGATTTTACTAAGGTGTTGGCCCCATGTTGGCCTTCTGAGGGGGCAGCGCTAATTGAAGCTCCCCTCTTCTTTGATCGATTTCCTCCAAGATGGCCCCAAGAAGCGCCCAGGAGGCACCAAGAGGCCCCAAGATGGCCCCAAGATGGCCCCAAGAGGCCCCCAGGAGGCCCCCAAGAGGATCCCAAACGGCCCAAAGAGGCCCCCCCGAGGCACCCAAGACGCCGAAAAGCCCCTCAAGACGACCCTCTACTCGCCTGGGCGTCGTTTCTGGACGGGCTGGTGGGGATACGCGAAGCGTCTAGAATTGGTATCATGCGATGGTGGCCTCCTTGCATCGTCGGCCTCAGGACGAGACGACAGGGCATTGAGAGGGCCCTGAAAAATCCAGGAGCGTCCCAGCAAGGCCACTGAGGGCCCAAGGATGTGCCAATCATGACCTAAGCCAACAGGGCCCCTGTAAGCCCACAGAAGGCACGATAGCCCCAAAGAGGCTACGATAGCCCGAGGAGGCTCAAGAAGACCGCACGAGTGCCCTGGAAACACAAAAGAGATCCCAGAAGGCTTCGAGATGGCCTCAAGACTCCAGGGGAACAAGGAGGATGGAGCCCTCGACCTTTTGGGTATACAGGGAACTTCAATCTGGCCTTCCACGTCCACAAATGGCCTCCAAGATCGCCCACGACGTTCGGCGTTGGCCTCCGATGGGCCCCACCGTGACCACAGATGGCCCAAGTTGGCCCACTATGTGCTGCAGCATCGCCCCTAAGAGGCCGCAAAACGATCGGACGACGTCTCCGATCGGTGGGCCTCAAGCTGGCCACACCGTGGCCTTCGAACCTCTACGAAAAGCCCGCGAGAGACACACATCATCGAGCATACTTTCAGGCTCTAACACATGCAGTGTCGCCGTGTCGGCTTCCGATGGCCCTCAAGCCTTGAGGTTGTCCCAAGGTGGGGCAAGAGGGCCTCGAGAGGGGCCAGAAATACGACGGGCTCTCACAAGGGGCACATGAGGGCCCTAGAGGTACTCCTGAGGCCTCCAGGAGATGGGCTTCAAGGTGGCCCAAGCGGCCCTGGGGAGCGGGCTCCTAAATAGTATGGTACGTCGCCGTCCGATGCCCCGCCCATGCGCTGCCTGCACACTGGCTGGGGAATCACGCAACCCAGCAATGCTGCCACTCATACATACATACAGACATCCATACAGACAGGCATGCACACATAAATACATACATGCACTCATGCACAAAACAGACAGACATGCAGGCATACATACATACATCCATACACACGTACATACATACATGCCAGCATACATACATACCTACCTACCTACCTACCTACCTACATACATACAGATATGCATACATACACGCAAACCTACATGCATACGTACACACCTACATGCATCCATACCTACACGCATACATGCAGACATGCATACACACCTTCACACATCACACATGCACGCATATACACAGACGCACCCGCATACATGCATACATACATGCATGCATACGCACACGCATACAGTCATGTTATTATGCATACATACATACATACATACATCCATCCATCCATCCATACATACATCCATACATACATACATACATACATACATACATACATACATGCATGCATGCATGCATACATACATACACGCGCATGTGCACATTCATGCATCTACACTTACACACATGCATGCATACACACAGGCATGCATGCATACATGCATACATGCATGCATTCTGACATGCATACCAACAGCCATACATACGTACGTGCGTATGCACGTAAACGCAATCGCACTTAACTATATAGACACACATGCATAAATGCATGCATGCACCCATACATGCATACATGCATGCACACACACGCCTACATATGCGCATATACACCTACACACCTACACACCTCATACATACACACCTGCATAGGTATATACATACATGCATACAGACAAACACGCAAACACACACATATACATACCTACATACATACACACATACCTACATCCATACATACACACAGACATACATACACAACCACACATTGCATGCACGTATGCCCACATGCATACACACATACACGTTCGTGACTCTTTCTTGATCTCTCTCTCTCTCTCTCTTTATATCTTATATATACGTATCACTCGTACCTTCTCTTATATATAAACACATACATATATGTATGCATATTCACTATCTCCTCGTCCTGCCAGCGATGGGTCCTCCTACCCTGTGGGTGCGGTGCTCGGACGGGGCGCGGGGAATCCAGTCAACACAGGGCAACACGAACGTATGTCAAGAACTCGAGTCCCATCGCCGAGGTCCTGGGTGCCCCGTGGAGATACCCAGAGCGAAGAGTGCTTCAAGGGCGAGGGCCCGACCGCGAGGAACCTGAGGGCGCCCCTCCAAAGCGATGCTTCTTCTTAAGCCTCATGCCAACTGCAGCGAGACCCATCCCATCTCGGCGGGGCCCGCCGACCCTGACCCCGTGGACAATACACGCTCTGCAGCAGGCGTCGGCGGTTCGCGGAAGGCGTCCTCGATATCGGAGGAGGGCTGGTGAATTGTGCAGACCACGACGCTGCCCTTGTTCTTCGCCAAGTCTTTGAGCACGCTCACCAAGATGTACGCCTTGAAAGTATCAAGGCCAGATGTTGGTTCATCCAAGAAGATCACTTTGGGCTCCTGCACCATGGACATGGCAACGGCAAGGCGCTTCCTCTCCCCCCCGCTCAGGCCCTTCAGCTTGCCAACTGGATCCCCCACGAGAGTGTCGATGCACCCCTCCAGCTGGAACGTTGCAACGATACTCGTCACACGCTGGAGCTTCTGCTCCTTGGCCATATCCCGGGGCAGCAGTAAGAACGCTGCCATTGTGAGCGCTTCCCTCACAGTTTGGGATGCCAGAATGGCGTCGTCCTGCTGAACGTAGGCTGCGCATTTTCGGACATCTTCTGCGGTTGCACCAGCCTTGTGGCCAAGGCACAACTGTCCAGTGGTCTGGCGTTGCCGGCCAGCGAGCAAGTTCAAGAGAGTGGTCTTTCCAGCGCCGCTGGGCCCCATGATCGAGACCAGGCGACCTCCGCGGCAGACGCCTGATACGCCTGTTAGTATAGTCTTCGTGTGCTCCGCATCCGTCACTTGCGCGTCCTTCTGCCGCGGCTTCTTTACCCGTACCGCGCAGCTCAAGTCTTTGAAAGAGAGGCTGAACGTACCTGGCGGTTCGTGCTCCTCTTTGGTGGGCTCTGCAGGGCGCGCATCTTCGCCCGCTGCGCAGGGCAGGGCCTGGCTGTCGATCGAGGCCATAGAGCGCCGAGGCAGGGGGCTGGCAGGAACTCCCTTGGCACGCCCTGAACAGGATGGCCTTGAGCCAGACTTTGTATGGGGAGGGGGCATGATCTGGGGAGGCCCGTGCGGTCAAGGAAGATGGCGAGGACAAGGGAGACGGCGACGGAGAGAGGGGGGGCGACACAGGAGGAGTGGAGGGGAACGAAGGAGCAGGAGAGGCGAGGGATTGGAGGAAGGATGGAGGAAGAGGAGAGGGGGAGGGAGAGACACGGAGGGAGGTGGGCGAGAGGGAGAGGCAGTGCTGAACGGAGGAAGAAGTAGGGAGTGGAGAGTGCGGGATGGGAACGGACGCGTGAGGTTACTCCCAGGGCCGACGTGGGCCTCGACTATTTACTTCCCAGGAGCAGCTACGCTGAGACGCAGGCGGCCACGCCAGCCGGCGCGGACCTAACACGACGAGCTAGTGTGCTGCGGAAATGAAATAGATGCGGTGCAAACTGTGCGGTGCGAGCTCTGTGGTGCAAGCTATGTTGTGTGAGCTCGTTATGGAATGCATGTTGTGTGCGAGCTATGCGGTGTGAGCGCTGTTGTGTGCGTTATGCGGTGCCGGCTATGCGCCGCACGCTAGGTTGTGCAAGCATTTCGGGATGAGCCATGTGACGTGACCTGTGCGGTGCAAGCTGCGTGGTGCAAGCCATACTGTGTGAGTCATGTGGGGTGGGCCGTGGGATTCTGAGCCAGCTTGTGCAAACGATGCAGCGTGTGCCCTGTAGTGAAGGCCACGCGGTGTAAGCCAGGGGCTGGAAGTTGCACGGCGCCCGCTGTGCGATGCAGGGCTGTGTGGGGCCGGAGGGGCGCCCGCCGGCGGGCGCCGGGCGACACCTCGGCATGCCCCGCCCAGCGCTCGAGGCGCCCACGCGGCGCCCACGAGGCGGGCACCGGGCGAACCCTCGGCACACACACCCCGAGCACGGGGCGGCGGGGCGAACTCTCGGCACGACCGCCCCCCAGCGCAGGGCGCCTGCGAGGCGCTCGCGGGCGGGCACCGGGCGAAACCCGGGCACGCCTCGCGCCGCGCTCGAGTCGCCCGCGAGGCGCCCACCGGCGTGCCCCAGGCGACACCTCGGCGTACCCCCCCCCCAACCGCCGCGACGACGACGACGACGACGACGACGACGACGACGATGACGACGACGACGACGACGACGACGACGACGACGACGACGACGACGACGACCCTCCCGGCGTGCCGCATCGGCCGCGGGCCCCCCCCGCCACGGGCGGCGAGGGCCGCGCCGAAGTCGTCCTCCTCGCGGCCTGCGCTCCCCGCCGCGGCCGTGGCCGTCGCGCTCGTCGTGGTCGCCCTCCTCGCCGCCGTCGTCGTCGTCGCAGCCGTCTTCGGCGGGAGGGGCGGCTGATGGTGTAGGGAACCGAACTCTACACACCGAGGCCTGTGTCTGGCCTCACACCGAATCTCGCACAGGAAAGCGGATCGTGGTGTGTACGAGATCCTGGTGTGTACATTCTTCTTCGTTGTTTCCCCAGGGAAACGGGGAGAAAAAGTATACACCACACCACCCCGACGTCGTCCCCAACCCTCACAAAAGTCCTGGGATTGAAAAACAACCCGCCAATGATGATGTATATGTTCCAGTGTCCGATGCTGATAATGATGATGATGATGATGCTGATGCTGATGATGATGATGGTGGTGAACGATGACGATGCTGACGGTGAGGATGATTGTGATGATGGCGGTGATGATGATGATGATGATGATGATGATGATGATGATGATGATGATGATGATGATGATGATGATGATGATGATGATGATGATCATGATGCGAGCTGCGGCAGCTTGGCCATGTGGGGCTGGGTGGCGGCACGGGCGGCGCTCGCGCAGCACGGCGGGGGTGGCAGTGAGGGGCGACGCGAAAGTGGGGGCTTCCTGCTCCTCCTCCTTCCCCTCCTCCTCCTCCTCCTCCTCCTCCTCCTCCTCCTCCTCCTCTTCCTCCTCCTCCACCACCCTAGCTGCCCTAGCTCATCCCCCGCCTCCTCCTCCTCTTCCTCCACTTCCTCCTCCTCTTCCCTCCTCCTCCTCCCCCCTCCATCCTCCTCCTCCATCCTCCTCCCCCTTCCATCCTCCTCCTCCCTCCATCCTCCTCCCCTCCTCCGTTCTCCTCCCCGTGCTGCCGGCGGCGGCGGCGAACCACGCCCGCTGGCAGACCCGTGGGAAGGGGGAATGTCTCGGGCCTTCGAGGCTCGAGGCTTTCGGGTGCTTTCGTTGGTGACCTGCGCGGTTCGCAGGGAGAGGGCGCCTAACCTCTGGGATGGGGCCCGAGTTTGGGAGGCCAAACGCATTAGGGATCGGGAGTCTTCTCTGCAGATGTGCCAAGCCGAGCCGCCCAGATTCTTGTATCCCTCATGCAAAGACGGGAAGCTAAGTGAGGGCACGCCTTCACTCTGTCATGAGGTTTAGTGGTTCTTTCAAGTTCTTTTAACCTCGATGATCTGCGGCCTTCCAGCCTTGTGCTGCGGCGCGTTCCAGCAACTGCGCCTCGCCGAGAGCGTTCTGGGGCTGCCGGGATCCTCCGCAGCGGCGGCCGGACACCAGAGCTGTGGGCCCGAGAACCACCGAGGAAGAGGAGTAGGCGATCGACGTGCTATCCATGCCTCTGCTCACGCTGAGACGTGAGGATAGATCGAGAATTTCTGAAATCCAGCGGTTCTGAGGGATGTATCGAGCGCCGCGGCCTTCTCAGAGCGTCCCGGAACGCTCTGGAACGAATGTGTCCTCGTCCTAGCCCCGTCCGCCACGCCCCGACCCAACGACGGAGCGGGAATATGGAAAACCTTCCGGGCACCAGAGCCGCGCTTTTTTGTCCACGCCCTGCTTCCCCTGGCGCCTGGAGTGGGGTCGTGGACTTTTCGGGACGAGGTGCCGCAACGCCGAGGCGCACTGGATATGGATACAATCAAGCCTCTTGGGGCCAGATTTTTATCAATATCCAGTGCGTCTACGGCTTCTGGGGAAGAGAGCCCAAGAATCCAAGACGCACTGGATGTGGATATAACTATTGCCCGCATGGGGGGGCAGCAGCGTGGGGTATGGATCGAGCGTCGATCGTCGAAGGTCGGGGATCGGGACCAGGTAAACCCAGCACGCGCACCGCCGAGGCTGCAGACCTTGCCGACCAAACCCCCCTTCCTCAGCGCGGCGCTGAGGCGAGAGCAATATCTTGAAGCCACTCGCCTTCCGTCCGTGCAACTACTGGAGGCTTTCGGGGCGAATCTGCCCGGCGCTGGAGCGAGATCCACACTTGGAACAACACCCGCTCTCCATCCGAGAAGCTGCTTGACGAGACCCAGGCGATGGGGCACGACGCTGGGGTGGTCTAGAGCCAGCTTTTGAAAACCACCCGCCTTCCGTCCGTGCAACTGTTGCAAACTTCAGGCTCGGGGGCAAGAAACTACAGTGGAGGCCGGTCCACAAGACACCTTCCACAAGAAACCCAACCGCAAGACCCCAGGACGTCTACAGATTCCTGGTGTGGCAGCGCCGCGCTCTCCGTAGCAAAACCACCGAAATCAATAGACACAAATCATAAGATTCCCCATGGCTTCCCATCTTTTCTGGGGAGTCGACGATTAATTGTGTCTGTGTGTTCTTTCCCGCATGAAACATGTGTGCACGGCAGGTTCGTGTCGTGCCAACTCCGCCGTTGGTTCCTGACACCGCCGGAGTCGCTCAAACCAGAGGAGGAGGGGGAGGAGGAGGAGGAGGAGGAGGAGGAGGAGGAGGAGGAGGAGGAGGAGGAGGAGGAGGAGGAGGAGGAGAGGAGGAGAGGAGGGGGAGGAGGGGGGGGGGGGAGGAGGGGGAGGAGGAGGAGGAGGAGGGGAGGAGGAGGAGGAGGAGGAGGAGGAGGAGGGAGGGAGGAGGAGGAGGAGGAGGAGGAGGAGGGGGAGGAGGAGGAGGAGGAGAAGGAGGAGAAGAAGGAAGAGAAGGAGGATCGACGACAAAGCGGGGGTCGTAGGCGAGATCGCATAGCCACCTGGCGCGACGGCTTACGCGGGCCGCCAGCGCGGCACGCCGCGTTGGAGACGAAGACGCATACGCGCGAACTGACGCGGGCAGCGTACGCGTGTCGGTGAATCCGAATCGGCTTCTCTGAATTAGAACAATCGGCCGCTTCCCGAAACGTCCGATCGTTCAACACCGACCGATTCTGGGTCGCCAGCGGCGGTTGACGGTGAACGCCGGCCGCGTGGTCGACACGGCTGCAGTTCTTTAAGGCTCTCGGCAGCTTTGGGCGGCCGCCTTTCGACACGTCTGGTGGTGCGGTGAGGAATTGCCTTCAAGGAGCACGTGTGTATGCAATTCTTGGCGGTGATCGGCAGCTTCAGGTGGCAGACTCTTGTGGGCTAGTGCGTCAGCCTCGCAAGGTGGCGTTATCTAGCTATCGGCGGCGAGCGAGGGGGGGAAGTGAGAAGGGGCGGGCCTTCTCAGAGGGCTCGGAAGTCCCCTGGCCTTCTGAGAGGACTTCTACGCCTCCCCGAAGACACAGAAAACTTCTCAGAAGGCGCGAAGAGTTCTAAGAAATCCCACCGCCTACTGCGAAGGTCTTCTCCTTCTCATTCCCCCCCTCGCTCGCCGCCGATTTAGCTATCTACGACACTGCGTCAGCATCACAGCGTCAGCCTCTAGTGGTCTCCCACTGAGTCAGCCTCACAGGTGGCCGCCAATTAGCTGCACCTATCGTGGTCAGGCCGATGATCGTGCCCCGTATCACTGGATTCCGAGCAATCAGCAGTGGCAACCATTGGACAAGCACACTGTTCTGTCCTGGGGAGGTGCGAGGCGCGGCAGATAGTGCCAACGGATGCCACCTACAAAGCACCTCGACCGACAAATACGATGCCGCGG